TGGGTCTGGGGGGCCTGAGTGGGGGGCCTGGGGGTCTTGGAGGGGTTTGGTGAGGTCCTGGGGGAATCTGAGGGGGTCTCTGCACCTCTGGGACCTCATCATGTGGGTCTGGGGTGGCCCTGAAGTTGTCTGGGTGTGTCCCTGTGGCTCTGGGATCTCACCAGGTGGATCTGAGGGTCTTGTAAGGGGGTCTAGGACCTGACCAGGTGGGTCTGGGGGTTCAGTTTGGGTAACCCCCTGATTTTTGGGGTGCATTTTGGGTCCTTTCAGCTGTTTCTGTGGCTCTCCCAATGATTACACTAGAGACTCCGCCGATCCCTCGGGATCTGAGGACACGTCCTGCAATGATGATGGGAGATGCTGGACCCAGCAGCCTCGGGGGGGAGGCTGATTTTTTGGGGGTCACTGAATTAAAGGTAGAACTAGAAGAGCCAGGCTCATCCCAAACCTTCCCCAGAGTTTCCCGTTGTCTTCCAACCCTTGTGTAGACCATTCTGTGCCTGTTTCCCACATTCCCTGGATCCCCCTGATCACTTTGTCCCCACACAATGCAGGGGGACAACAACCCGACGCTTTGTGGGTCACACCAAGGATGTGTTGAGCGTCGCGTTCTCGTCGGACAACCGACAGATCGTCTCGGGCTCTCGTGACAAGACCATCAAGCTCTGGAACACCCTGGGGGTCTGCAAGTACACTGTGCAGGTCAGGAGATCCCTCCAGATTCCAGGGGTGGATCCCAGATCCGGTCCTCAGGGAAAGGATTGGTCTTGGGTTGGGTTTGGGGTCAATCTCATTGGGTTTGGGGTCAGTTCTGGTGGATTTAGGTACAGCCTTGTCGGGTCTGGGATCAGCCCTGTTGGGTTTGGGGTCAGCTCTGGTGGGTTTGGGTAAGCCTTGTTGGTTTTGGGGTCAGCTGTCCTGGAGGGGTGAAGATCCAAGGGTAGAGGACAAGGTTTGGGAAGACCTGTGACCATCTCCAAGGTGAGCTCCTCCCCCATTCCCACCTGGTGACGTGTCGTTCTTCCCCGGCAGGATGAGAGCCACTCGGAGTGGGTGTCGTGTGTTCGCTTCTCCCCCAACAGCAGCAACCCCATCATCGTGTCCTGTGGGTGGGACAAGCTGGTCAAGGTCAGGAGACACTTAACACCTTCCCAAGTCTTCCTTGAATCTGGGACTCTGGAGCTCCAAGTGACCTCTTTGTCTCTATCCCAAGGTGTGGAACTTGGCCAACTGCAAATTGAAGACGAACCATATTGGACACACGGGATACCTCAACACTGTCACTGTGTCTCCTGACGGATCCCTCTGCGCTTCCGGGGGCAAGGTAGGTCAGGGACACCCCGACATCTCCTGCTGCTCCAGGCCCGTCCTGGGTCTCCTAGACTTTGGTGGGATCCATGCTCTTCCACCCTCGGAGGGTTCGTGGTTGGAGTGAGGTGGGAACGGCCCAAAAGGTCGTGGAGGAGTTGGCGAGGGAGGAGGAGATGATGGGCAAGATGGTTGCTTGGCTCAGTGATGCTCCTGGGGATCTTCTGGATGTCCCAGGGACCTTTTGGAGCTCTAAGGCTTCTCCTAGAACCTCCTTGAGCTCCTGGTGGACCCTCCTGGGGCTCCTGGAACCTTCTTGAGCTTCTGGGAAGTTTCCTAGAACTTTCTTGAGCTCTTGATGGAGTTTCCTGGAGCTTCCAAAAGCCTCTTGAGCTCCAGGGACCCTCCTAGAACCTGCTTGAGCTCCTCCAGAGATGCTCCTGGACATCCCAGAACTTTATGGAGCTCCTGGTGACCCCTGCTGTGCCCCCAGGATGGTCAGGCCATGCTGTGGGACCTCAACGAGGGCAAACACCTCTACACCTTGGACGGAGGAGACATCATCAACGCTCTTTGCTTCAGCCCCAACCGCTACTGGCTCTGCGCGGCCACCGGGCCCAGCATCAAGATCTGGGTGAGCTACTAGGGCAGCTGGGATTGTCTTCTCTGAGGTCCTCCTGGGGCCACCAAGCCGTGATGAAACCTTGAGATGCTTCTGATCTTCTCCGTGTGGAAACCAGAGGCTGTTTCTGAGCAACTCCTGGGCCTAGTGGGATCTGGGTGGGATTGGGGATGGGTGACTCTTCTGCTCTCACCCCTGGTAGGACCTGGAGGGGAAAATCATCGTGGATGAGCTGAAGCAGGAGGTGATCAGCACCAGCAGCAAAGCTGAGCCACCACAGTGCACGTCCCTTGCCTGGTCAGCCGACGGACAGGTCAGCCACCACGGGTCTTCTGCTGGGACCTTCTCCTGGCCCACCTGGGGGACATTGTCCTGGGGACCTTCTGCTGGTCCACGCGGAGGACCTTCACCTGGGGCTGAGGGTTTGGGGACCTTCACCTGGGGATGAGAGTTTTTGGACCCGCACCTGAGGTTCCTCATCTCCTCCCCCAGACTCTGTTTGCCGGTTACACAGACAACCTGGTGCGAGTGTGGCAGGTCACCATCGGCACCCGCTGAGGTCCCTCCTGGTCACCACCACCTTCTGAGGGACCCCAGTGGCCATCACCACCTTCTGAGGCCTTAGGAAGGATGCAAAACCTGAAACTTCTGGGTCAAAGTACCAATAAAGGAGGTTTTATGGAGCTTCTTGTCACCTTGGGGCACCTGGGAGGTCACCGGGGTGGGGGGGAGGTCTAGGTGAAGCTAGAGCTCCTCAGGTGTCTTCATCCCTTCAGGAGGTGGAGCTGGAGCTCCTCAGGTGTCTCCACACCCTCAAGATTGGAGCTGAAAGGTCCTCAGGTGTCTTCATCCCTTCAGGAGGTGGAGCTGGAGCTCCTCAGGTGTCTCCACACCCTCAGGGTTGGGACTGCCATGGTGGGACGAGGCCAAGGAAGTTCTTCTCCCACCCTCCAAATCCCACAACTCCCCCCAAACCCAAAAAAACTTGGAATTTGGAACTCCTGCTCAACCTCCTCAACCCCTTGGAGCTCTCCACAACTTGCCTTGAGGAACATCCCAATCCAAGCAGCTCCACTTGAGCCCAAACTGCTTTATTTAGGAGCCTTTTTTTGGGGGGGAGAGATCTTTTCCTTCCTGTTGGACAATTCCAAGTGGGAATTGAGCTCAGGAAACAATTCCAGGCCTCGATTATTTGGGATGGGGTTGGGATAGGAGCTGAGAATGTTCCTGGAGCTGTTGGAAGACTCCAACGCCCTTTTTTGGGGGGGGGATGTGATTCATCCCCAGATTTGTTCTGGAACTGGTTCTTGGTTTTTTTCCCCAGAAGTTACAATCGGAGTCAGGACTAAAATTGGAATCATTTTCCTTTATTTTATTCCCAGCATCTGATAAAACTAAATTTCCTCCGTTTTTCCTTTTCATTTTAGCCAAAAATAGTCCCGGAAAAAAACAAAAACTTCCGAGCACCCAACAAGGAAATTCCCAAACGGAATCCAGGGAAAACCGCTGGGAAAGAGGCAGGAGATACTTCCCAAAGGGCTGGGATGGGAAAAGGGAGGGAAAAATCTCCACTCTGGGATACTTCTCCCACTGTAAAGTGCCACAGGGAGGGAAAAAAAATCTGGGAATTTTCCCCCCAAAACGGCAGGAAAAGGGGTGGGAGGAGCAGGAGAAAAGCCAGG